AATAATTTTTGATAAGGGTGTCAGGACCATTCAGTGGAGAAAGAACCCCTTTTCAACAAATAGTGTTGTAAAAACTGTATATCTACGTGCAAAAAAATTAAAGTTGGATCCTTGCCTTCTATCATATACAAAATTAACTCACATACAAAATTAACTCAGTGGATTGAAAACCTAAATGTAAGGAAACTATAAAACTCTTAGAAAAAAAACACAGAGGAAAAGCTTCATAATACTGGATTTGGCAGTAGTTTCTTAGATGACATGAAAACCATAGATATCAAAAGAAAAACTAGATAAATTAGAGTTCATCAAAATGAAAAACTTTTGTGTATCAAAGGACAAAAAGGACTATAAAAATGAAAAGGCAACCCATTGAATAAGAGAAATTATTTGCAAATCATATATCTGATATGAGATTGATAATGCACAATATATAAAGATCTCTCTCAATTCAACAAAAACAACAAACAACCAGATTTAAAAGTGGGCAAGGGACTTGAAAAGATATTTTTCCAAAGACAATATACAAATGTGCCTAGGCACATGAAAAGATGTTCAATATCACTGATAATTAAGGAAAAGCAAATCAAAACCAAAATGAGATACCACCTCATATCCATTAGAATGGCTATTATAAGCAAACAAAACCCAACAAATATCAGGTGTTGGCAAAGATGTTGAAATATTGGAACACTTGTGCACTATGGTAGGAATGTAAATTTTTTTTAGCTTTTCTGTGAAATAGCATGGCAACTTTTCAAATAATTAAAAATAGAATTATCACATGACACAACAATTCTACTTCTGGAGATATATCCAAAAGAAATGACAGCAGGGAGTCTAATAGATATTTGTACTCCAGTGTTCGTAGCAGCATTATTCCCAATAGTCAAAAGGTGAAAACAACCCAAATACCCATTCAGAAGGTGAATTGGATAAACAAAATGTGGTATATATGTAAAAAGGAATATTATTCAGTTTCAAAGAGGAAACAAATTCTGACATATGCTATAACATGGATGAAACTTGAGGACATAATACTAAGTGAAATAAGTAAGTCACAAAAGGACAAATACTGTATGATTCCACTTACATGAGGTATATAGAGTAGTCAAATCCATAGTGACAGAAAAGAAGGGTGGGTGCCAGTAAAATGATGGACTGGGGGGGGGAGAGAATGGGTTGTCAGTGTTTAATGTATATGGAATTTCAGTTGGAAAAAACGAAAAGCTCAGGGGATAGATGGTGGTGATGGTTGCATAACAACGTGAATGTATTTAATACCACAGAGCAGTCCTAAGAATGGTTAAAAGGTAAATTTTATGTCATGTATATTTTGCCATAACTTTTCAGAAAGAGCAGGACTCATTGTTAAGACTACAATTGGACCTCATAGATTTTTTAAGAGGAAAAGAGATATGCATTAGTAATATAGGCCCAGGCAAAATTGTGAGATATGTGGTTTGCATTTAATATCTTTGCCTCTCCCTTTCTAGATTTTTCCTAATTCTTCTATTTTTTCTGTCTTTTAAGAACTTTTTATTGTGATGATCTACCCCTACCATCCTTAATTCTGAGTTCTGCACCATTACCACTACTTAAATTTTGTTCTATTCTTACTCATTTTTTCAGAAGTATGCCCTAAATTAACTGTCACTTGGGGATATAATATAATATTTTTCTGCCCGTGAAGGTGTTAATGATTGAATCTAAGAGAAACTCTTCAGCGAATTTTATTTTTTTTTTTTATTTATTTTTTTATTTATTTATGATAGTCACACAGAGAGAGAGAGGCAGAGACACAGGCAGAGGGAGAAGCAGGCTCCATGCACTGGGAGCCGGACGTGGGATTCGATCCCGGGTCTCCAGGATCGCGCCCTGGGCCAAAGTCAGGCGCCAAACCGCTGCGCCACCCAGGGATCCCTCTTCAGCGAATTTTAAATGAGAGAGTCTGGCACTGGGAATAATTTGGCCTTCAAACAACCTCAGATCACAACGTGGAGACACCCTCCCTCTTTGACTATAGTACGCCCCACCTTTGGGATCACAAAATTGAAAAAAATGAATTCCGCGTATTCAAAAAGCCCAGGAACATGGATTCTACTGATAAGTTCCTGCACACCATTCCTCATTGTTCCATATCCTATCGAATTGTGGCCTTACTCAACACAATTTAGTGATGGCTGTGGTAGCAGAAATCTCTATGCAGGCAGATTTTAGCATAGCAAATGGTTTCAGATTTGAATGTAGATGTGTGGCATATGGAATTAAAAGGCAAATCAGCTCCAGGGCAAGAAACATTGTTCAAATGGTTTAAAATATGCATTTCTCTGTTGGGGGAGAATAAATAGAAATTTTTTCGATGCAGTTATTGAATAATCTAGCGGTTATTAGAAGTTTGTGGTTTTTATAAGAAACACTTGAAAATGTATGCTCATTAGATTCATTTTATAACAAAAAGAACCCCTGCTGAGATTATTCAGAAAGAAAAAAAGCATTCTGTTTAGCTATTTTGCTAGTTTTAACACTTCCAGAAATCATTATGATTATCTTTCTGTATTAAAAAGAACAAAATATCATGAACAGACATCAACTAATTGTAATGCAAGTAATTTCTTGGTATTTAAAAAGTGTTTGACACTTATGTGAGGATGTATGTACATTTCATATACATAATTGCTGAAATATGGTGATAAAAATTTAGAGTATTTTAGAATCGCAAATAGATTGTAAAAATTGCTAGGAACTATAGGAAACTTGAAGATATATTTATGCAGATACATATGCATAACTAATATACTATGCTAATTCAATTAGCATAGCTAATTGAATGACACGCACACATATATACAAATAATTATATAATTTAGTTCATTTTTTTGTTCAACCAGATTCTCCAGATCACGAGAGGTCCATGAGGTAATAATTGGGATATTCCAGCTATCCTAAATATTTCAAAGGCCTTATAGCAATTGTAAATTTAGCCATGGTATGATTTACAGACTAATCAAATTTCTTAGCTTTTGGATAGAATGACATCAATTCTGACTGGAAATACCGGTTCCCTCAAGCTGACTAGAAATTCTGATAGACCTCTAACTCTAGGTTTTTGATCGAAATAGGACAGTGGACTAATAATTAGGCCTCAGAACAGAGCTTTAAGAACTCATGTTCTGAAGTCAGAAAGACTAGGGTTCTAATCTTAGCCCCAGCACTCACTAGCTGTCCTATGTTGGGCAGTTACTTTATGTCCATAACACATAGTCTAAGTTTCCTCACTTTTTAAAAAGATTTTAATTAATTAATTAGTTAATTAATTTGAGAGTGCACATGTGTGGGGGGAGGGCAGAGGGAGAGGCAGACTTCCTGCTGAGCAAGGAGCCCTACCTGGGGCTCTATCTCAGGACCCTGGGATCATGACCTGAGTCCAGTGCAGATGCTTAACTGACTGAGCCACCCAGAAGCCCCAGCTTCCTCACTTTTTTTAAATAAAGACTTTATTTATTTATTCATGAGAGACGACACATACACAGAGAGGCAGAGACACAGGCAGAGGGAGAAGCAAGCTCCCTGTGGGGAGCCCGATGTGGGACTCGATCCCAGGACCCCAGGATCATGACCTGAGCCAAAGGCAGATGCTCAACCACTGAGCCACCCAGATGCTCCAGCTTCCTCACCTTTACAATGGAGAAAAAAAAATGCCTGCTTCATAAGGCTGTTGTAAGGAATAAATCAACTACTGCAGGTACAATGAATGCCTAGCACAGAACAAACTACCTTGATAAATTGTAGCTATTAAGATTCCTGTTATTACAGAATACAGTTGGTCTATGAAATCTTTCAAGATAAGGATCTAGGAATAAAATAAATGAAATAGAGCATTGGTAATAAACCGAGTTTACTTAACGTCATTTAAAAGTGGTGTTTCTGAGTCAGCTTTCAATACTCATATGTATGAGCTCAGGAACATGATCCATTATTATCAAATAATATTTTGCCCAAAATGTGCTTAAGTAAAAATTATGATTTTGTGACTGGGTTGCCAACACCGGCTCAATATTCACCAGCATATTTCCTCCCACAGTGGCTAATGCAACCAGTCAGGGAAGGACAAACTTGTCAAAAAAAAATCTCCACCGTTGCTAAGAACTATCACCCATCAGGGGCTATTTATGGTTGAGATAACCTATTTTTGAGAGAATGATATTTGCAGATGTTGGATAATGAAATAAAACCCTACCTGGTGGTTATTGTAAACAAGCAAATGTCCAAATCCTTCAGCTTCTGCCAAACCTCTTAGATCCCTTAAACTTGGAAATAAAAACAAAAAGAACCCCAGAAATAGTCTGTTGTTGATAGAAGCACCAAGAATTCCAAGAACATTGATATTCAACAGGAAGGTGCTTATGTTTTGTTTAACACCAGGGGTGCCTCCCAGCCATGGATGGTTGACTTTTTTGTGGGAGGGTCCTCATATTCCATCTGCCCACACCTGAGACTCTGATATGCCTGGGAGGCTGGAATATCCAGGTGGAGTTGAAAGTATGATCTTAATAATAATTCCTCATATTTTATGGTTCTAAGAGTTGTATTTTATATAAATTATGTCATTAGATTCTCATAGCAATCATCTGAGGGAGAGAGGGCAGGATGTCATTATTCTAATCTTACAAGGGAAGAAAAGGGCTTGCTATGGTTAAGTGGTTTAGCTAAGGCACTCGGGTAATAGGAGACAAAACCAGGATTAGATCCTCAGTCCTCTGACCTCGCGTGGCCTTCTTTCTGTTTGACCACACTGGTTTTTGTGTGTGACGATTTATTAGAATGTCATGTGCAAAAAAGCTTTGCATTAATAAAGTAGACTTAAAATGTGGAAAATAATCCTTATGTTAATCTACATTTGCCATTTGTTGCTAAGCTTTTTCCCCCCCCTATTATTGTCTGATTTCTTAAGAAGCCAAATGGGATTGTGAAAGCTAATTTCTTTTTTCTCTCATTAGGTTCAAATTATGAAAGATGTGATTTTGAGAGTGGTCTCTGTAATATGACACGAGATCAGAGTTTGCAACTGGGTTGGACAAAGAGAAATGGGATGACTGGTCTCTCACCTCCACTTTATGATCACAATGGTGATATGTCTGGTAAATGCTTTGAATTTTTTGTTTGCTTCTTTCTTCCTTTTTTGTCAAGTGGTTGTCTATGGCAGAGGAATGTTGGCTGATATTTAGATGTCAATTGTTATAATTTCTAATATTATGCATTCTTTAAACATTTTCAGGTTATTTATGATATAAAATATCACATTGGATTCTCATTACTTGCATTCCTGGGATCCTGAAGGTCTATCTAGACAATAATTGGGGGTTTTCTAGCTGTTTTGGCTCTTTATGGAAAATGTAAAATTTAACATGATAGTACTGTATAGGTTAATTCATCAAATTATTTTTGCCTATATTGCTTTTGGCTATACTGATTTTAGCTCTAATAACACTTGTTTTCTCAGGCTATCTAGAGAGCTCTGATCAGTTGCTCACTAGCCTTTGAGGTGGCTCTGGAGCCAGACATTTATTCATTTCTTTATTTGATAACTAATGAACTTCATTCATTCACCATTTTATACCAGGTGATTAAGATGTTTTAGTGAGCAATAATCAACTCTATGCCTTCCCTCATCGGATGGGCTTACACGTGATATGAAAAAACAATGTAGTATATTGCCTGGTGTAACTAATTGAAGGCTGGTGATTTTTTTATAAAAATGATGCTTCTCTCAAATAAATACACCCTAATTAGAAATGGGAGTATTTTCCCTAGAGATAATTTAAATCAAACCAATGTTCAGGTATCAGGTATTGTTTGGAGATGTTTACATAAATACTACACATGTGGATTAGAATCCCGGTTCCATCACTTAGTAGCTGTATGATCTTGAACAATTTACTTTAAGCCATGGTTTTCTCAACTCCAAGAGGGAGAATGATGATACTTAGTTCAGAGGTAGTTGATGTAGGAGCTAAATGAGATATTGTTGGTAAAACTTGCCATGAAACATCTGACATTCAAAAAAAGTTGATATTTGGTACATTTCTGGATAATTTTGGTGTTCCTAAATTTCACTTCTAGGTAAGTGAAGTGGAGTTTATTACTTTGCTTGGCTTTGATGGCAAAAATACTTCTTTGTAAAAAAATCTTTGACACTTGTTAGGAATAAGCCAACTTTATGATAAACCAGGGATCAGTTTTACAAATAGGACCAAAGACTCACTGCAAAACAAAATTTTTATGATGTGTCCAGTTACATTAGATGGCGATGATATTGAATCTGGCTCCCACCTTTTAACCATTACAAAATCTTGCAAATTGTTTGACTCTGTATATCTCTCCTTTAGAACCTCCCGACCACTTCTTTCTTTTACTTCAAGACTTTTCACAGCATGCATTTACTTATCCTGGTCTTCTTGGGCAGGATACCTGAAATTTTCTCCTTTTGCTGCATGTGTCTCTTATTCTCTTCTCCTTGTGTGCCTCCTCATCTTTGAGGTAGACAACTGGGATCTCTGTCATTGTGCTTCTTGCTCCTCTTTCCTTCCCTCCTCCCTCTCTTCCTTCGATCTTTTTTTTTTTTTTTTGATGAACAAAAATTTTATTTTTCACACTTAAAGGCTAATGAATAACCATCACTAATCCTATTTTAAAAAAAACTCAACATCTCAATAGGGAAGGATAACTATATTTACTCATTAAATACCATTTAAGTTTTCTACAACACAACTTGAAAATACCCAGCATGCACTTTTAATCTCAGTACAATGGATTTAAGACCAAGGTTACATGTTACAAGCATCAAGGCTAGATTACAAATTATCATAGTCATCATCATCATCATCATCGTCATCATCATCTTCTCGTTTTCTTTTCAATGCATTTGATGATTCATTGGAAGTATTTTGTGATGACACCATTTTTGTAGTGATAAGAATGTTTTTGGATCCAATTAATGATGGATTAATCAGAACATTCTGAACGGATGTTGCAGGAATTGATGCTTTTACAGTTGGGGACTGTGATGTGGGCATCTGTACTGTAAACCTCTGCCCTGTGAGGGACATGAGAGTCCCTACTTTAGTTGACACTGACATGGTTTGTGGGGTTGGTGTACCAAGAGTGGGAGTACTTGGTCGGCTAGTAACAGAACTAACACTTAACTGTGGAACTGTTATTCTTCCCGCAGAAGTTGATGTCTTTGTCTTTTTTTGTAAAGACTTAAGTCTATAGTTTGGAGCCGTCAAGCAATATCTATCAGGTGGCAACCTGGGGCCTGAATATGGCTTGATTAACAGCAAAGGAGTTTGATTTCTTTGCCTTGCAATATCCAATAAAAAATCTTTTGGGGGAGGAGAGGTAAGACTGATCAGCAGGACACTGAATGGCCAGCCGCACATCGTCTGCACCAACAGTAGCCTTCTTAGCATGGCTTGAATAAATTTTTGCATCATCGAGGATTGAGGTCACATATCAGAAGGCAAACTCCAACATCTGATTTATAACTCTCGGCTCATATTCTGTAATCCCCATATCCTTCAGGATTTGTGCCATCATCTGTGCATCTTTCCGCATGCTCTTGGGAGAAGCCATCTTGCCAGACTCCATGATATCTGTTGATCAGACTTCTTGAGCTCAATCACCCACATTAATGTATTTCAGTCCTGATCTCGATGCAAGTTCTTTGCCTAGTGTGTTTTTTCCAACCCCCGGGGTACTGGTGAGCAGGATGTTCAGAAGCAACATGGTCCTCGGCGCGCTGGCTCCGGCCCTCTTCCTTCGTTCTTTTCTTACTTCCTACTCTTTTCTCATTTTGTCATGCTTATTCTTTGAATGGACAGTCAAGAAATAAAATGGTGGTGATTACATCTAAATTGAGATGTTTTATAGGCGCACACCATTGTATCCACATCACTTGGTTTGAGTTCAGATCTCTGGAGTCAAACTGGATGATTTTGAACCCTGGTCATCAAGCTGCTAGTCTCATGTATTCTCAGTTTCCTCATCTGTGAAAAGTGGGAATAATTATAAGACAAGCCGGGAATCCCTGGGTGACTCAGCGGTTTAGCGCCTGCCTTTGGCCCAGGGCGCGATCCTGGAGTCCTGGGATCGAGTCCCGCATTGGGCTCCCGGCGTGGAGCCTGCTTCTCCCTCCTCCTGTGTCTCTGCCTCTCTTTCTCTCTCTATGTCTATCATAAGTAAGTAAATAAATCTTTTAAAAAAATAATAAGACAAGCCTCATAGGGAGAAGGGGGCAAAATATTGTCTGGCATAATTGTTGAAGGCTGGTGATTTCAATAATAGTGATGCATCTCTTGTAACTATAATTAAATAATTAAATTAAATGTTAAATGTGAATATTTCCCTAGATATTATTTTAAATAAGCAAATGTTCTGCCTTTAGATATTAGCTGTTTGAAAATGTTTATAGAAAAATTATCTTAAAAAAAAAGAAAAATTATCTTGTTGGAATCTTGTCTCCATTCAAAAATCCTTATTTCGTGAGTATTAATGACATTTTTGATTAAGTTACTCTTGAAATAATTTGCTAGTGCTCCAAAATAATATTTTCCATCATGTAATCAATGCCGTGAGAAGTTTTCAGAGCTAAGTTTGAAAATCTATTAGAACATTAAAAACATCACTGTGTCAATATTTGAAGTCTACTAAAGCTTGGGGCAGAGTGATTAAAATATAATATTGATTTTTTTAAAGTATATAGCATTGCATTTAGATGAAATGATAATCACTACAAAAGTTCAAATACATCTTTGCAACAATGGTAAGCTTTATATTAAAAAAGATTCCTTTTTATTGCTGAGTAGAATGCAATTGTGTAAGTTAATTCATCCATTCTCTTATTGATGGACACCTGTGTTTTTTCCTGTTATGGAATATCATGAATAAAACTTCTATAAACATTCCTCTATAAGTCTTTGTGTCCTTATGTTTTTAATTCTCTCAGGTGAATACCTAGAAGCGAAATGCTGTCTCAACTAATGTCCAGTTTTATGAGAATTGCCAGAGCTTTTTCTAAGGTGTTTATAATTTGTTTGATTAAGTGGATGGTTAGCTTGTTTAGACTCAAATTGAAGACCCTGTTTTGTTTGTTGTGGGTGGTGGTTCAAAGATCAATTCAGTACTTTTAACCTTTACTAGATGTGCTCCCTGCCTGCACATGCATATTTTAAGTTTAGCCAGAGATTTGGGTATTTATGGAACATAGGCCACCTCTTCTTCTGTTTCTCTTCTTTCTATCTAGAATTCTTCCCTTTATTTATGGTAGACTTGGCTGTCCCAGCTTCTTCCTTTCTTCTGGGTCAAGGAGATAGCAGCCTTTCTATCAGAATTTTAGCCACACACACCAGGTACAACTGCAGCCTGACTTCAGGCCAAAGCCCAAAAGAATGTAACATGTTCTGATGCCTTCCTCCAAGTTTCTGTTCCCATAAAGTATGCCTCTTTGGTTTATCTTTAAAGCCGCCCAAGGTCTTAGCTTTTAGATCTTTCTGTATAAACATTATATTTATATTTATTATAAATAAATTATAAATTATAATTATAATTACAAATTATATTTATATTTATTTATTTATGAGTGTTGTCATATCAGCATGGCCTAAACTGTTCCATGCTCCCCTTTGTAATGGGCACTAGGAACAGTAATACATTTCTTAATACTTGGCAAGCTGCATTATTTAGACAGTGAGTTGTATTATTTTACTGATAAGAAACAGCAAAAGACAAAAACTGGAAAAAAAGAATCTCATACTTTCTAGGTTAAGTTTTTGTAGCCTTTTTAATCTTAATATCTGTTTATTTTGATATTAGTGAAAAATTAATGTTCATTTATTCTTTATTATTTTTAAAACTTGTTATTGAGCATTTATTTTGCTCTACATATTATTCTAGGACCTGCTTATATAAGAGTGAAGAAGAACAAAGTTCTTCTCCCCAGTGAATTCATAATCTAGTGAGGGAGACATAAACTTTATACCTTTTCTATTCTAGGAATCTGCATACTTTTCTTTCAAATACCAGATAGTAAATAGTTTTGGCTTTTTAGATTATTCACGTGTCCCAGTTACTCAACCCTGCC